AACTTCATACTTTATTTGGCCTTTTTAACATTTTTTTTATTCGAGCGTCACTGATGAGTCTTTTGTAGACGAAACGCGCGTCTGGCGTAAATATAAAATTTCAATCCTGGTATCTATGATGAGTTTATTAACATACATAGTTTTTTTTATTTGTGTCCTTCACAAAGAAAGCTACAGTATCAATCAGATCGAAATTAGTACTTCGTCTTATGACTTCTGTATCATAGACGTGCAAGTAGATAAAACATTACTACATTAAAGTGTATCAAGGTATACCTGCAGCTGGCAAAGAAGGAAACTCCAAATGATTAACGAGCTGAAATACCGATTATGTCTTTTTCCAATTAATATCGGATGTTGTTTTGGTAGAATTATACCTAGTGAAAAAAGGCATCATCTTGTACAATTCCCGGGGTAACTTTGAGTATTGAACAAAGGAAAATGTTTATATTGTAACAACTCTTATTTACTGTTTACATCGTTGACATTGTTAACTTCGCGATGTATACAATGTATTATCAATATCGTGTTTACATTGTTTACATTGCAGTGTTCACAATATTGTGTCAACATCATTTATATTGTATGAACTCCTATATACTTTAAATTGCCAATTAAACGCGAATTTCCTCGTTAATTTTTCAATTCTTGCTTATCAAACAATTATCTAAAATTTTCCAAATTTAAGCTAAAATCATTTATTTTTGGCTGTAATATGGCGGTAAAAATGCCTAAAGAACATAACTATTTCATGAATATGAGTATTAAAATTATATGAATTTCTTTTTTTTTTTTTAATTTTTATTTTCTTATGCACAAAACTTTTACAGATAAAAAGCAGATGAACACAATCAAACTCATAAGTTTTACATAATAAACAAAATTATCATTAATTTAAACCATTGAATAAGTCATTATTGAAGGTATTCACATAAGCTTAGCTAGGGGAATAACACTTTATATACAATATACATTGTCAACATCGCGATGTCTACGATATAAACGATGTAAACAGAAAGGAATATACTCAGTATTCAATATAAACACAATATAAAAATAAGGAGATGTGGTATGATTGTCAATAAGACAACAATCCACCAAAGTTCAAAAAAAATAGATGTAAGCAATTATAGGCAACCGTACGGCCTTCAACAATGAGAAAAACCCATACCGTATAGTCGGCTATAAAATGCCCCGACATGAAGAATATGAAACAATTCAATTGAGAATATTAACGGCCTAATTCATAACAAAACGAAAAACAAATATGACAGACATGAACTAACGACAACCACTGAACAACTACAGGCTCTTGACTTGGGACAGGCACATAAAGAATGTGGCGGGGTTACATATGTTTGTCAACTAGTTATTGTCAACATCGTGAAGTCTACGATGTGAACGATGTAAACACAAAGGTATAGACTAAGCATGCAATATGAACACAATGTTGATTCGCTATTGTCAATATCGCGATGTCTGCGATGTGAATGATGTAAAAACAAAGGTATATACTAGTACTTGGTATACAATATCAACACGATGTTGACTTGCTATTATCAACATCGCGTTATCTACGATGTGAACGATGTAAACAGAAAGTTATATACTTGTTATACAATATAAACACGATGTTGACTCGTTATTATCAACATCGCAATGTCTACTATGTTAACAATGTAAGCACATGGTATAGATACGATACAATGTAAACACAATAATGACACGATACAGTAGACATCGCGATGTTGACAATATCGATAAAACGTCGTGTACTGGACATAATTCGGGAAATCAGGAGTGTCTGAAAGGTAACCTCATCCTGCATAAATCAGATGTTTTGCTACTCATGTTATATTAAAGTTAAGTAATCAGCTGTATTTTGAGAAACTTTGTCATGAGCTCAGGAATGTTAACAATATGACCACGATAAAGTGATGATATACATTGTATAGTAAAATACAAACAGCTAAAAGTTCTTCTCAGCAATCATGGCAAACATCAATGAAGCCTATGGAGTAGTACAACGCTAAAGTTCGCAGGAGATTTAAAAAAAGATAAGCGCAATAACAATGTTTCAGTAATTTATGGTAAGGAAATGACTAGGATTTTTTTTTTTTTTTTTTTTTAATTTTTTTATTTCCGTTTACATGAACAATTAAATATAATAATGCGTCAAAGGTACTTAATGTTACAGGAACTGATATGCAGCTTTTCTAATATTTTGAATACAGGGACTTTTTCTCAAAATTTATGGTAGGAAAATAGCATTTAAATTATAAACAGCAAACTTTAAAGATAGCTTTTCTTATTGGCTTAACAATCGTGACGAATTCGCTGAGATAACAAGTTGGCGTGCAACTTGATGACTTTATTGTTTTATGAATGCGTTTTTAAATCATCATTACTCAGGCATGCCGAAAGTCAAACTTTCAAGAAGCAAATGATGCATACATATGTACTAAAAGCACTATAACCAAAAGGAAGATACTCCAGAGTTAATATCGCCACATGACATGTTCGCCTGAGGAAGCAAGAAGTTAAAATCGGATTGCAAAACTACAGAATTTTGTTAGCATGTGCAGTATATTAAACTTAAGGAGAAACTTGGTCCTAAAATATAGATTTGTAATACAAGATATATAGATGTAAAAACCTATATTTGGGATCTTTGATATAAACTCGAAACCTTTGCTGACTGCTGCTTGTTTTAACAATATTGACAGCTTTAAAAGTATGATATTTTACAAGTATTTAGCTTAATTGTCTGTTTATACGCGTATGTAACGTATATTTCCTTCTAAAAAACATTAGCTATACCCTTCGACCAAAATAAAATCGAGTTATAAAAAGACGTGTATGGTAAATAAAGGCAACAGTAGTATACCGCTGTTCGAAATTCATAAATCGATTCAGAAAAAAAAACAAATCCGGGTTACAAACTAAAACTGAGGGAAACACATCAAATATAAGAAATATATGGGCCAGATACACAGCATAGAAAAACATTTATGTTGGTCCTTGCTTATGAACAACGTCGTTTGAAGCAAAAACTAATAAAATTGAGGCAAGAATTAGTCAAACTACGATTTTCTTCATTAAAATGCACAATGTTGACATCATAATAACATCACTACTGTTCTAATGCTTCAGAGCTTGTGTATACTATATATCTCAAATATTTTTCGATATCTTGTCATCAAAATTGTATTTGTATTATTCAAAATAAATTTCATAGATTTTTAGGGCGATTATGAACCTTTCGTGAACATGCTCCTTTTAGCTGCAACATTTCTCTGCGCTCAAAATTTCATATATAGCATACTCATTTGTAGGAACACTAGTATATATGAAGGTCAGTTATCTTACCTAAAACTACTTAACATCATTTTCGTTCTTAAAAAGAATTCTAAGTGGTTTGTTCATTTTGCAAATTGTTCTAAGGATAAATTTTAATTTTCATGCAATTAAGGTCCAGTGTATAATTAAACAGTCGCGTATTGATATACATTTATATTTCTCTGGTCCGGCTGACTTCGAGATAACGAGAGTCGACTGTATTTTAAAACTTCATTGGTTTTATCCGTGTTCAGATGTTTAATTATGATTATTGACCTATGTGCTATTTTCGAGCAAAACAAACAGAAAAAAAAACACGGAAGGATATGAGGTAACCATAAAAAAAATTCTACCAGGAAATTTTTTAAATGTCATGAGGAACAATATTAAACCGATAAACTGGTTTTCCTGTTTGAATTGTTTTACACTAGTCATTTTGGAGCCCTTTATAGCTTGCTGTTCGGTATGAGCCAAGGTTCCGTGTTGAAGGCCGTACTTTGACCTATAATTGTTTACTTTTTACACATTGTGACTTGGATGGAGAGTTGTCTCATTAGCGCTCAAATCACATCTTCTTATTTCTATATAATATATATGTGTATGCATTATACAATATACATGTATATATATAATCACGAACAATATCATATCGATATACAGACCATGTATTTATATTACAAAATGTTTATCTATAAATTCTCGCGCAGCTATCGTGTTCTGTTTTGTCTTTTGGAACAGACCAATCTTCCATTCAAGATTTATTGAACTAAACACAATAGTTTGGTAACTTCGAGAAGTTTGTTTCATTTTCTTTGTTATAAACTGGACATCCTTAAAAAAAACACCAGAAAAACTATTTCCGCTCATTTATTATTCTAAGAAAAAGAAACTATACTTTTTAGAGCGTCACATTTTTACATTTTATCTACTGTAAATATTGAATAGTTGTTCTATTTGTGGATTCTTCTCGGTTGATGTTCGTGTATGGAATAAACCTAAATGAATAACGGAAGTGATTTCAAATCTAATCAGACCATTTGTTATTTTCCAGAGAATTTGAATTCGAACTCTGAAATAAACTTTTTGATATTTTACTATCATATAGGGTAGTTAATTAGCAATGGTTTAATAACTAAATGAAAGTTTGAAAACTAATCCCAGTGCGTGCATTACGTCATATGTCGTTTCCTAAGAATTTGTTTCGTTTTATAGAATGAACATATTACGAATTCATTTAAAAAAAAAAAAGATTTTTCATTATAAGAATATTTGATACACGAAGTTTGTTTTTAATTCCTGCTGTACTTTTTGTCGTCATTTTACAGGAATGAAACGAGGAAGGGGTAGTAAAATGTGAACTATAACGAAAACAAAATAATATTAAAAAGAAAACAGCACAAACAAAGCAAAACAAAACTAACAAAGTAAACATAAACAATCCACGCAGACACAAGAAAACAAAAATGATAGTTAGAAATCCTAATCTTAAAGATTCCAAAAGAAGGACATGAACACCATTTGATATTGCGCAAATAAACGTGGTATTCAAATGGTATAATAATCTCCTAACTTAATGGAGAGAAAATCATCGGAATTATTTAAACTGGATTCAGCGTATGATTGGATCCTATGCATTATGCACGACATAAAGCGCTTATTGACATTTATTAGAATCAATTGATGATATTCAAATGTTGGTAACAAGTATTCCTTTTAATTTAAGTTCAAGTTCTATTCAATGAAGGCAATAGTGAGGATCATTTTGAGAATGTTGTTTGCAATCTATTTCGTGAACAGTGGTATGTATATCTGTTTAGGGATCACGCAGGATGAAAAACTAAAAAGTCGATGAATATTACTCTTTGATTGTAAATCTATGTTTGAATTAAAATATTGAACGTTGTTGTCCAAAAGTATATTGCCTAAAATGACATTATTTGATTCATGTTTTTTCCAACAAAATTTTTCATACCACCCATATGCACATTTCTTTTTGGGAGTAGAAGAATTTAAATATATTAGAATAAGGCGATAACAAATTCCTGTCAAATAAAAACACTTAAGCAGAGAATAAATTGTTTTTCTTTATTGAATTTGTTTTTATTCTATGCAATTGCTTTGTATAATAAGAAACGTAAAGGTCTTTCCATCATAGCATATATTAAATATTTTATGTATATGTATTTTTTTAATTGCTATTTACTTGCAGTTTATGATTGTATAGAAAACTCCAATGGCTTAAGTAAGATATTGCGGAAAATTTGCCTAACAATATTTGCATAATTGAACATTTGAAATTAATCCTAACTGGCATGAAAGTATTGCTTATTTTGGATTTTAGTTTTAGGAAATGATATATGCAAGAAAAGTATTTGCCTTGATTGGGAACTGGATGTAAATAAGTTCACGTTGACCTGCAGAATAACAAATATACATTTAAGAGTTTTCATTGATGATCCATATGGCAAGACACAAGCAGTCTGTCTTCCGCCTTATCCATTTGTGTGTGAAGCATATTATAAAAACGGTAGTATGTCGTATAGTACAATAACAAAAGAGATAAAATTCATATTAAATGGAGAAACCGGTCGGAAAGTTGAAGGCTTCTGGGCATGTCGTCATGGAACTGGAAGAGACATATCTAGTGTTTTTGTTTCTATGATAACTACGACAGGTAAACTACAAATATAGCATGTCTTATTGTTAGACAAAAAGCAAAACACCATCTAATATTCCCCGCCTCTTCTGTATTACATTAATTCAAAATCTACTGATGCCTCAGTTTATTTTTCTAAAGTTCTTTGTGGAGTTTGCAACCATTTAAACATTTATATTTCGTCTGTAAAATTCGACAGTCTCAGATTCATCGTAAATGAAATCTAGACTAATCATCGTCAAAAACAATTAATTTCCCATACTGCAACAACTTTCGAAATGGTTCTGTCTGTATTAGCATATTCATCATTTTGAGTTAGCCTCTAGTCACTATAAAAAAATACTGAAGATACCATGGGGCCTTCAAAATTCATTACTCGAAGAGAAACTGACAACGCCATGGTTAAAACACGAAAAAAAATAAAATAAGATTAACAAGTCAACATACCACTACATAGAAAACTAAAGACTAAGAAATACGAACTCCAACTAAATACTGGGGAAAATCATCCGACCACAATAGGTATCAATATTCAGCATCACATGGGATAGTTGTTGGGTTGTTCTTGGTAAGTACAAACAACCTCTAATTTAGGAATATACGTAGCGGTACAGTATACTTATTCATGATTTTATTATGTTCGTCTATATCGATTTTGTTTACTGCAGTTTTTCTTCATTTAATATTCTTAAATTATTTAAATAAAATATGATTATGTATTATCAATGACAAAACAGACGATAAAGAAAGCAAAAAAGAAAAGAGGACCTTAATTTGTATGGATTTCACTAATTTATAAGTTTTACCTCATTTATAACGTAACTGTAACCATTGGCAGCTTATTCTATTTTTACATTGTTAAACTATCAGGTAAATATGAAACTGTCCATATTTTTGTCTCATTGTCCACGTCAAGGAATAATTAAAAGAAATTTATAAAAAACAGAAATCAAGAGGAAATTAAAAAAAAGCACAAGTCGATTAACATATTTTGTTGACATATTTGTTTGTTTTTATAGTGATTGAGATTATAACACAATGTTGACTGCTGTACTCCTATTTTTGACATTCTAACCTATTATGTCTGTTTGTTTTGTTCACACATTGTTGTCAATATACTGGAATTTTATGCGACTGTCATACAAGTGAGAGGTTTAGCTAGCTTTAAAACTAGGTTTAATCCACTATTTTTACATAAGGAAATGCCTGTACCAAGTCAGGAATATGACAGTTGTTTACCATTCGTTTGATGTGTTTGAGCTTTTGATTTTGCCAATTGACTTTCCGTTTTGAGTTTGCCTTGGAGTTCGGTATTTTTGTTGTTCTACTTTTTAAAAACAGATAAACGGCAAACTGACAAGCTATAATCCACACAACATTTTATATAAACAAAAGTTGAAACAAGACAAGACCAATCCAAAATATGAAATTGCAATCGAATGCTCAAGAAGGGTAGAAAGGTAAACAAACAATGAAATACAAATATGCTACCACATCCATAAGTATCCATTTGTATCTATTTAGTTTTTAGCCACTTTTATATTACACTTATCCTCTTCATCTCCAGTGGGACATAAGGCCACACTTTTATATAGTTTTCGGTTAGCTTCTATCATTACATATAATTTCATTTAGGGCTTAAACTCGTCTTTATTATTATTTGTCTTTGTATATTATTTGTGAATAGGTAGTAAAAGCACTTTAATAGTCAATTCCACGGATAAGAGGACGGACACAATTTCAACCCCAACACAAACTTCGTCTGCCTGGTCCTCTAAACTAATGGAGTTCAAAAATTATTCAGGTTTGTTTAAATATCACTAACTGTTAATACACAATATAAATTAGTAAATGTAGTATGATTGCCAATGATACAAAAGAGAGGCAAAAGATACCAAAGGGACATCCAAACATATAAGTCGAAAACAAACTGACAATACCAAAAAACGAAAAACGACGAAAAGACAAACAACAACTATCCAACATGAATACGAATTTAAGCAAAATATATAGGTCCCATATATAGAACAAAACCTAGACAGTATTCAGCTATAAAAGTCCCCGACATGACAAAATTGCCTGATTTATGACAAACAGTAAACGAAAAACGAATATGATGTATAGAAACCAGCGACAACCACTGAAATGATTTGCTTACAACAGTAGTACTTATACATCCTTGGCTTTCAAATTTTTAGGTTTTAGTGTTCCTGTTGAGCATTAATCCACAAAAGCGCTTCGAACTCCCATTTTGCTAACGTTTATTTTCATTTTCTATCACTGAGAAACTATTGTTGCACGGTTGTAAGTCCCTAATGGTATCATTAACTTAGCAGTCAAGCAGTTACCACTGACATGATTTATAGAATACCTTTGAAAATGTTCTTTCCATTAACAATCCAAATTTTTATGAATTGGTCCCATTAATATATAATCCTGAACTAGAGATTGAGGAAACCACATACAGCTTCCTCTGCCTCATTTTAGGACATGTACATCGAATCTGACTACAGCACTCATCACAGTATTACAATTTATAAAAAAAAACAAGACGATTTAAATTTTGAAATTAAAATTTGTTCTGTTTTATAACACAATGCTGACTGCTTTACCTCAATTTTTGACATTTTTACCTTTTATGTTTGTTTGTTTTGCTCACAAATTGTTGTCAATATATTGAAATTGTATGCGACTGTCATACAAATGAGAGGTTTAGCTAGCTATAAAACCAGATTAATTCCACCATTTTCTACATAAGGAAATGCCTGTACCAAGTCAGGAATATGACAGTTGTTTTCCATTCTTTTGATCTGTTTGAGCTTTTGATTTTGTATTTGTTAAGGGGACTTTCCGTTTAGATTTTCCTTGGAGTTCGGTATTTTTGTTATTTTACTTTTTTCCGACCTGAGCAGCAATGTTCCAACTTCATCCGCGTATGGAGTATACAATTCTTAACTCATATGATATTCATGATAATGTATGTTTTCACAGTTGTTGGGTGATGGATTTCAATTATTGTCATGTTTACCAATTATGTCTATATGGGTGGCCCACCCAATTTTTACAATATAACGGAACTATAAACAACTGTCATACAAGTGCGAGGTTAAGATAGCTATAAAACAAGATTCAGCCCACATTTTCTTCTAAAAATGTCTGTACCCTGTTAAGAATATGACGGTTGTTTTCCATTCGTTACATTGATTTGATACAATCGAGCGTTTGATTTTAGTCAGGATTTGTGGATTTCAACGTTTTTAATGTATCTTGGAGTTTTTTATTTTTTGTTAAATTCTCAAAATATAATAAGACACAAAGATTCCAACTCCCTCAAACAAATTGACGGTAGGTTGATATGGCTATTTTTTCAGTCCCCTTTTGGGCATATAGCTCCACAAATATGGTAGTGCTAATTGACCCGTGACTAGCAGTCCTGATTAGGTAAATCCAAAGTAAATCTTTTCGGACGCATTAAATGTATGAAAGAGAGGCACAAAATACCAAAGGTTTATTCAGTCGCATATATGTCATGTAAATCCGGAAGAGCACACAAACACTAAAAAAGTAGTGAACTATATGTTAGTTTTTTCTGAAAGCATCTAATGAACAGTTGAATTAAAGACAACAGTAGTTTATAGATGTTAAAATCTCCCACGTACATGAAGATGACACATATCAAAGTTAAAAACAACATAAGGAGAATCACTTAAACTCCTAATTGTAGAATCACTGTGAAATTATTTGTCTAATAATTCAACTAAATAGAAAACAATTATCCTTTCAATGCTTAATCAGATTTGACGGTCAATGAAGGATTTCAATCAACACAGTTCATGTATACAGATATGGAACGGGAAAAAACAAATGTAAAATTAGGTAGGTAATAATTTTGCAGTAAAATTAGGTATAAGATGATCAATAAAGAGAAATGCTGTAAAAAGTAAAACAACAAAAATACCGAACTCCAAAGAAAATTCAAAACGGAAAGTCCTTTAACAATTGGCAAAATCAAAAGCTCAAACATATAAAACGAATGGAAAACAACTATCATATTCCTGACTGTACAGGCATTTCCTTTTGTAGAAAATGGTGGATTAAACCTGGTTTTAAAGCTAGTTAAACCTCTCACTTGTATGACAGTCGATTACTGATTTAGACAAAAAACCGGCCTAAGGGAATACATTAAGACCAAAATATAAAAAGACCAATACCGGGTCTGGACAAACGTCGCTGCATGCAATTGATTGAGGTAACATATGTACTGAAGCATAACTGGTCATTCTCTTTTATTAAAGACAAAACAAATGTGACAAAACATTTCTTTGTACAATGATTGTTGTAAAATTTCGGTAAACATGAAGTAGTTACATGGCGGATGTTAACATTGACAACTCTTTACAGCTTAAAATATTCAAGCTGCAGACTAATTATTTACCCATTTTTCCTTGTACAATAAGTTTAGTAGAATTTCCAACGATCGACAAACAGAAAGTGGCTGTACGACGTATGTAAAAATTGCTTATTTGCTACAGCTCAATATTAACTAGCTGCAGACCAAGTAGTTAATGATTCCCAGCCAAGAAATATCTTCCGGACGGACAGACAGACAGACTGACAGGCGAATGAACTGACAGCCGGATAGACGGACGGACAGCCGGCCGGACGGACGGACGAACAGCCGGACGGACGAACGGACGGAAAGCCGGATGGACGGTTTCTAGACTTGTTTTCGCCTTTGGCGAAACAGGTAAAAAGAAAGACTGATTACAGTAGGACTTATATAAGAAAAGACTAAAAAGACTAAGCATTATAAAAAAAAACTATTGTGAAACGTATATGTGAAGGATTCTAAACCGCGATGGTACTCCGAACCGCGATGGGCTCGCTAAAATGCGATAGTTTGACACTGAAGTGTGTTTTTGAAGACGCTGAATTGCGACGGTGACACTTTTCCTTTAGAGTCCTCAAAATAAACATGTTGTGAACAATTCTTCTGAAAGCCAATCTGTAATTCAGAATTTACATAAAACTTATAGTAAAACAACTATCAAGTCTATTATCAAGAATGGAGTTTAATAATTTCCCAATACAACTTATTATTATAATACCTCTATAATCAGAAAGATCATATTTTGAATCTGATTTAAATATTGGTATAATATATCCGGTTTTTCAATGTTTTGGATAAAAATCTGTGCATAATATACTATTATAACAATTTTACATAAGACGGAAGCAAAATTGATTCACTTTATTTGAGCTTTTTGTTTGAAAAGCAATCTAACCCAGTAGATTTACAGTTATACAATGCATGTATTGCCTTTGTCCCTATTTTCTTTATAAATTTAAAATTAAAATCAATGAAAGTCTTTCTTTGTTCTTAAGTACAAAGCGTATTCCTAAACTGTAGTGTTTTTACACATTTTTTTAAAAGACCGTACTCAATTCTTGAAAATGTATCTCGATGTGTTATATATTATTCCATAATGGTCAATCAAGTCATAAAAATCTTTAAAATTTTTTTTATAACGTTCAAAAAATACATTTTGACCATTGGGTTGACTGTTTCATCGGGTTTCGACACTCTTCAAGGAGTGTTGCCGATTACGCGGTAGTTACAATATAGTATAATACAGTGAGAAGAGATGGTTATATAGAACCGATTTGTTTGTGCTATATATTCTATCTGTGAAATCGTAAGAAGTTGTTTTAATCCGTCGTATAAACTCATACCACATCTTCTTATATCTATAAATCGATTGCTCATTACGACAATGAGCAATCAATTCATGACTATTGAACAGCAGTATACTACTGTTGCCTCTATTGAACTATCGAAATACAATCATCCGACAGTATCAGCAGCCAAGTAGTCAGCACTCCTTGTGTGTTATACACAAAACGTTGATGACCTGTGCAGGATTTGGCACAACATTTTTAAATTTTCAGCTCCTATAATCATATTCAATGTCGTATTCGGGATGGACGTATAACTGCATGTGATGATTCGAGCATGCACAGAAGGCGATATACAAAGTAAAAATTTTCGTATTACGATGTTATTTTGAAATGATATTTAAATGAGATATCAAATTATTTTGTTTATTTCAGGAACCATCATAAGTAAATTTTACGGACTGTTTATTGGAGCAGCTGTGCTAGTTTTGATTATGTTTGTTGTATGTTCTATCTGGATCAGTCGTCGATTTACAGACATTCAGTTGAAATTAGATGCAAGAGTGCAAAACCATTTAAATCAAACTGAAGAACATACAATGGATCTGAATGAAAACACAGACGAGCGAATAGACAGAATGTCAGATTATGATTCAATAAACGAGAATGAAATGCTTCCGTTTTCATCTGTTGTTGTCTTTGGTGACAAAGATTCAAGTTTAGATACAGACAACATTGCAACAACTCATACATGCATCCACGAGAATACTTCGTCTTCAGACAACTCATACCTGGAGGTAATCGACGATAGTACATATCTGAATCCTTATCAATCCATAGAAGTTCAACATGATTCAAAAATAGATCATGATTACTGCACAACGTCAGGCTCTAATTTCTTAGAAATGTGCTCTCCAAAGCTTACTGAAAAATCATCAAATGAACAATCTTCTACATGTTATACGGACGTCAGCAACAATCATGGCAAATTTGATGTTACAGTACAATCTGAATCACCAGAAATCAACGTGATTTGTTCTGAAATTCTTAAAGAAAAGACTTTATTTACTGTAAAACCTGATAACAATGAGGCAAACGATGCCTGCATCTTTCCGTCTCATTCAATGAGTACTTTGCTTTAATAAACATCGCACATATTGTGCATTATATGGTTAGGGTTAGGTTCATTTTATTTTACGATGACAGAGCTGGTAGATCAATATGAATTACAAATCAGCATAAACTACTTTCATCTTAACAAATGAACTTTTTGAAAGGATTAACGTTTAGACGAACAATAGAATAAACTAAAACAACTCGCAATTCTTTTTAGGGAGTATGTGATTGAAATTTGAAAGGGCATACAATACAAAGATAATGAAGTATGTGACAATGAAATCAAAATACAATTTTAAATTGCATATTGAAATATGGAATTGCACGCATTGAATTTGATATGGTGATTCCAAATTTAAATTTAAAAATTGGAAAGGGAAGTCAGTCGTTGTTGATTAACTGGTTAAGAACCCAAGATAGTAAAAGCCGTTGTCATTTGGAGTAGTATTGTTAGATTCGCAATTGTACATTCGTCCAATAGGAATATTTAGTTTTTACGAATGTATATTAACATGCTAGTTAATATTCTGTATTAAAGGGAATGAAAATTATCGTAATTCTATTTATGCACGTTTGCTCGATTTTGTTAGTTTTAATTGAACTGTATCATATTTACTCACCCCTAATCATTAAGGACCACAAATGATATGTCTAAAACTCTAATATAACAGCTATGGGTATTACAAAAATTGAGAACTATCTATATGTCTTGATCTTGTTCATCACTAAGCATCTTCTGCATTTATCTCGGGTAAATAAGTGACGTTGTGATTGGTTAAACGCCGTCGTGCGTGGATTCCCATAGGGGGTCGGCAGATTTCATAGGGATATCATGATGTCGACGTCATCGATTTATGTTATTGTATTTCATTGTTTATTCATATACAAAATTTGGCAGGAAAAGTCCACTGTGCGTAAAACAAAAGATTACTACTGACACCCTATGGATCTATAGAGGGTAACTATAATCTATAAAGTATTCGACTTTTGGCATCGCCCCTACGGATTTTACTAAACCTCTATGTATCTGTAAGGTTTCAGTAACAAACTGTGTAATTTAAGGTACTGGCCTTTTATATGCTTGATCTCTAATGAATAGTTGAACTACAGGCATGTTTTTAAATCCAAATCTATAATAGCATCTTAAAATGATTTTTAATATAATTCTATCTAACTTGTGAGTAAAACTCACTTTATTTCAATAATCAAGTAGCAATGATTACCATATGATTGAATAAGTCAAAATTTCATTTTTAGAAACTCTTAATTTATAAAACCTTTACATCGTTCATCGTATATAAGCATATAGTCCGAATACTCATTTGGTCCGGACCATATACATATGATTTAAACAAATACTAAAAATAAGATGATTTTTGACGGTTTTTCTTTATCCTTTTAGGTTTTTGTCATTTTAATGCTACCAAACGTCGTACATGTTTGACTTCCAAAAATTGACATCTCTATGGAGTACATTTTTTTTTTTTTTCATTTAGCAATCTTAATCAGTATCGTCCAGTTATTTCTTATTATGACTTATTCCGCCTTGTTCCGCTTGATAACAATGTGTTTTGTCAGTTTTCATCGACTTCACCTTTTTTAATTTAACTTGGAGTTTAGTATTGTTTATGCTTTTTTAATTAGTTGTTTGATTTTTATGTATCTATAACATAGAGGCAAAAGTGGTAAATTAATGTTCCAGATATTATACACGAAGATTTCACTAAAAGCGAAAAAGGTCTAGACTTACTATCAAAGAAATTGGGGGGTTGGGTGGGGGAGGGGGGATAGTTTTGTACTGTAGTATTGTGTAAAATTTGCACCAGGATCTAATGAAGCCAACTATTTAACTCGTGCGAAACCTGAAACGGAAATAAGGATTTGTTTATTTCGTGATCTCGATTGCAAATTTATATTTAAGGGACTTTCTTTAATCGGCGTCTGTTTATACTGTCACAAAATGTATGATTTGCACTACTGTTGTGCCAAATAGTCAGGCAATAATTTGTTTAGTTCAACCACCTAGGATAATATAGACATGCATAATGACTGATTTGATTGAAAGAATGTAGATAAAACTGGATTGGTTGCGACTGTATGTGATACTAACAAAGTGAAGTTTCCATGAAATTTTAACAAGCCATTATATTGTATACTAGTTATAAAGGAAGTGTTAAAAATACCAGTCACATAATTTGATTCCATTGATATTATTTTAGCCATGGTTTGGTTGCTTTAGAATCTATTTCAGCTCCTTCTTCTTCTTCTTTTTCTTTTTTTTTTCTTTTTCTTTTTCTTTTTCTTCTTCTTCTTCTTCTTCTTCTTCTTCTTCTTCTTCTTCTTCTTCTTCTTCTTCTGCTTATTCTTCTTTTTCTTTTTCTTCTTCTTCTTCTTCTTTTTCTTCTTCTTCTTCTTCTTTTTCTTCTTCTTCTTCTTTTTCTTTTTCTTCTTCTTCTTCTTTTTCTTTTTCTTCTTCTCCTTCTTAGATATATATTGACTTTAAATTGCACATAAACAAACAAACAGCAACATTGTGACCCGTAATCACTCATATTCCTGGATGGTTGCCATTACTTCTTTTGTGAAATGTATCGAGTATCATTAAGTTATAAATAAGTTGAGAAATTCCTATTTCTATTTAAATTGTCACGTCATTGTTGTTATGAAAAGTATTCATTTCATGTTATATGCGCATCTGATGAAGTAAAACTGGAATCGTTAATGTCATTGCTTTAGATTATCATACTGTTGTCAATTTATAAGGTAAATTTGCATCTGAATTTAATATTATCGGTAGTTTTATAAAGCACTAAAATATCTTCTACATTTACATATTTCTGCAATTGTAGTGTAAGGAATCGTTGATATCGTCCAGCCTGATATAATTAATAACACTTCCTCGATTGAATAAGTTCAAATCTGAACATTTAATATTAATTTAAGGCTTTTATATTTGAATGAAAATAACACCTAATATATTTTGTGCATCCGACTCGCTTTTCTAGATATACCCTTATCAGAAATGTCCAAGCTTCAAAATTTAGATGCCAAAAATGTATAAATACCTGAGTAGATGACGAGCTTTATGATAAAAAGGGACATACAAGGAATAGCTGAATTTATTCTTAGGATCAACTTTTCTGAGGGCAATTATTTCAATAAATCGTTGTCAAAGCCTATCCCAGCACCCCAACTCTATAGATCATAAGGTTTTTCGAACATCTATTTAGACCAAATAGAATTAACTAATTGACCATGGCCATGTCCATCATCAGGAGCCCAAGCCATTGCATAGTGACACTTATTATAAAAATACTGTAATTTTTATTAGGGGCTCGACACCTCATGATCTGTTTGACTAATATTTTTCTATACTCTTTTTCTATTAACCATGTTTATCAATTTAACAAACAAAGTATAGAATCTATTTTCATAATCTGCAACATGTTAATTACCCAGAGCTGCTGATGTTACTGTGTCTTTCAAGTTGTTATGCCTACGGAAAGCAAAAAGAGGTCTTTTATCAAATAAAAGTTTTGCCTCATCGTCATCCTTTAATTTATCCCAGTGTATTAAGATATTGTTCTTTATGTGTGATTTCTGTCTTGAAAACACTGTGGAGAATACCAAGGGAGGCGACTGTAATACAGATTTGTGTTTTACCATTAATGTGACATTTCTTTGTTTTGCAGTCACTTCCTGCATAACAGTTTTAATTTCATTTTTTGGATATCCCCTTTTAATAAGGCGTTCAGAAAATAACGCATATTGTGTTTGCAAATCTACTCGATCGTTCGTACATCTCTTAAAGCGAAGTATTTCTCCTTTGATTATGCCTCTGAAAGTAGAGGATGGGTGGCATGGGGACCTCTCTATGTACTGATAATTTTCAGTCTTTTTTCGGAATGTCGTGAGGTCCAAGATTCCTGTTTCTCTAAATCTTGGGCCTTTGAATACCAACACATCTAAAAACTGCATTTTACTGTTCAAAACATTGTGCTATTTCATCATCTGTACCTTCATTGTAAATAAAAAAAGCCATCGTCCCTAAACCTATAGAGGCTTGATATTTTCTGTTTATGTTGGAAAGTCCTTAAAATACTATTTAAGACTTCATATACTCTCAAATCCGTAATTTCAGGTGATAATCTATTTCCCATTGGAACTCCAGTTGAAGTTTTATAAAATTTATCATTGAACATAAATTCATTATTTTCAAGAACTATCTTTAGAAATTCCAATATATATCGCAGGGGAGGCAATCGTATCGTATGTTTACATTTAATTATCGTAGGCCAAGCATGTTTGACTGCATCAATCATTTCTGCATGGGACATATTGTTGTACATTTCTTTTATATCAAAAATGACTAAGTAGGCGTCAGGTTTAACCTGCAATTTCTCAATAATATTTATAAATTCTAAAGAGTCCCTTCATTGTGTTTCTTGTTTTACTACTGCTGGAAGCATGAATTTATCCAAATACTTCCCTATTCTCTCTAAAACAGTACTCGATAATGATACAATAGGCCTCCCTTGAATTCTGACTTTTTTATACAGCGTAAATTCTGTTGAACCCTTTCTATTAGTTCAGGATCCAGTTTGTGCAATTTAGGCAGAAAATACAACCTTCCTGGTTTGCGATCTCTCTATGCAGAAAGATATTTAAATGTGATTTCATCCATGACCCTTTTCCTATGCATTTCAAAGATAATATTATTGATTTTCTGGTTGGTCTCTATTATGTTTAATTTTGCAATTTCTATGAAGTGAGTAGCACTACTCAATTGCCTCAGTCCTTCATTTATATATTCTGTTTTATCACAGATCACTGTGGTGTTATTTTTAACTGCTTTTCGAATAACTTTTTTTTTGTATCGTTTCAGGGAAGAAATTGCCTTTCTTTCCAGCGTAGTGAGATTATCGTGTGCTTTTTTTATTGTTAGCTTATCTATCTCAATCTAAGTTTTGAATATATATGTCTCAATTGCATTGTTTGCAAGTTCCGGTTCATATCCGGATTTTGTTAAAAAGGGATGACGTTTAAAAATATCACCCTTGTCAAAATGATATTATCATCTTAGTTTTCTTGCAAATTCATTGAAATCTGATGCAATACTAGATTTGTTTTTGCAAATTTCGTCGAGGGAGACGGTATATACTTTAATCCTTTACTAAGTAACAAAATCTCATCGTCTTTTATTTTTTCAGTGGTGAATATTTTAACATATTCACGTGCCTTTTTAATTGATTTTTCCTCTTGAGAGAGTGAATCTTTATCTTTCTATTTTTCTGATAGAAGGCCTTTTTCATGATAGCCTTATTTGTTTTTTTTTCGCTCTCTTAAAGTGTCTGTTAGCCATACTTACAGATCAGAGAAAATCGTCAGAAGGCAGCGTGCAATTCATTTCTTGATGTAATATTGATTCTTTATCAAGCCTGTATGAACTCACAAACCAATCAGATATCATTTACTCAATAGGAAACCAAATAAGGGGAAAAGGAGAACATCCCTCCTATACATTGCAACCAATCACCATTCATTGCTTTATA